AGAAGAGACTTCCGACGTCTACACAAGCTCGGGTTTCCAGAAACGCAGAGAAGAGCACAGGAATACTATTCAGCGGTGCCTTCGGTCTGAACACTGGGGGGCAGGGAAGTATTTGTTTTAACTCTGAAGAGGAAGCTGCTGGGTCTCTTATTAATTTGGGGAGCGTAAGTTCAAGCAAAACTACATCCCATCTGAACCCAAGGCCGCGGTGTGCCAAGCACAACAACCTGATGGAGCTTTTCAAAAGGCGTCTTTAATGGGAATGCCCTTTCCAACGGCCAGGGCCTGGTTTGGAACCTCTGATTCCTAAACGAGCACGGCAGGCGAGAGCAGCCCAGGGCCAACTGCGGAAAAAAAGAAGCGGTAGGCCTTCCACGCCGTTCTTCTGAGCGGCGGGAGCTGGCCACGGAAAGAAACCCAACGTTTTCCCTCCAGGAGATCAAAGGAGGCCTTCTGTACCAGGAAGCCCAGTTCAAATCCTCATTTCCAGGAATAAAGCCGCCGTGCCCAATCCTTGCTTTGGGGAAAATAAAACGAGAGACTGTGTGAACTCCCAATTAAAGTCACCAGTGGCTTTGTCCCGGCCTCGCCCGGTTGAATGCTGTGAACAGTTTTACTCACGTGCTGCTCTAACTGAAATGCCGACTCCCGGGTCTGAACAGTCACACTTACCCCTGGGTAAAAGCCAGAGCATCCGAACACGTCATGACAGCATTCTTTGTCCCCTCGGAGCCCTCCGTGTGTAAGACGAGGTGATGCTGAGAAGTGCCAGCTCTCCCCCGACCACAGTCAGAAGCCCCGCTACAGCCCATGCTATTATTGCAGCCTCAATCCAGGGATCCCAGGCATTTCAAAGTTCGTGTTACGCCACTTTGCTTTTACAAAAGACCTACAGTAGTACCTGTTCTTACTAACGGGAAATCAGAAGAGGATTTTTGCTTTTATGGGGAAAATAAAGCCCAAAAGGAAACTAGCATTTTCTTTTCAGGGAGCTCTTTACGAGGCAGCAGCACCCCGAGCGGCGATGAGTGGTACCCCCACACTCCACACTCCTTTCCCAAAAACCACACTCAGTATCCCAGCACTGAACTGCCGGGACTTCTGAACTGTCTGTGAGCAATCTATGCTTTATCTCCATTTATTCTGTGCATTCCTGCTTTTAGTATATGATAATGCTATTTTTGGTTTTCTGTGTTATTTGGTATGATTTAGTAGGTTATGTTGGGGATCTGGTGATGCTCAAAAATGTTTCCAGATAAATGAGTGGTAATTACTTTTTTTCCTTTATGCTATTTCAGCTTAGGAACGCTTTCATGGGAACTCTCCAATTCAGAGAGCGGAGAAAACCTGTATTGGAAGTGAGAGTGGAAGTAGGAGAAAACAGAGGGGATATGCTCAGTCTTACTTGGGTATAACAGCAATCATCTTTGCTTTAAATTATCACCTAGGGCCTTGTCAATCAGCCATTTGTTCTTATGTGCCTGCTTCACACAGGCACCACGCTAAGTCAGAATAGTGCAGTGAAGTATTCCCCAAGTAATCATTATGTTAATGGTTATGTTTAATTATCTTCTATAAAAATTATGTATCATGTATGTAGGTGACAAAGTCTAAAATCAAATGAGCACCCAAGAACCTATTCCTGAACCCCAAACCAGAATATCACCAATACTGTGTCATCTACTACCTCCTCTACATTATCCCCATGTTCCAACAAAATACACACATACACACACCAGATAATTATCCTGAATTTGGGGGTTCAATAGGAGTAAATGTATCTTTATAATTATCTCCTGTTCCTAATAAGTGAGTTTGCTTTCCAAATATGGCTATGATATATTGTTTCCCCTTAAAAGATGATGTCTTTGAAAAGGTGCTTGTTGCTAAAAAAAATTAAAAATTAAAAAAATTAAAAATAAAAAAAGTTACAAGAGTATGTGAAACTTGGCATAGCTAGGGTAAACTCATGAAGACAATGCATGAATGAATGAAATTTGGCAAACGCTGGAGAAAGTGGCAAGATCATGGGTTCCAGAATCCCACCAACTCCCAATTGAAACCCCTGATCCCCATTCTCTAGTTCTACAACACTGGGCAACTCAATTTTGCCAAACCTCAATCTGTTATTGTAAAGGAGTAAAATAATAATAATAAAACATGTGGTTATTGTAAAATATAATTAACAAGTACATGCAGAGAGCTAAGCTCTGTGCCTGGTACATACCCAGCCCCCCTCCCCCAATCGTCATCTCTGTCATTGAGTTCACTCAAAGCATATCAAGGGGCTTTGCCACTGTCAATAGTTTACTTCTTCCTAAATTCTAACAACTTGTGTGCTGATGCCTTCCCATAAAAATCAATCAAGATAAAGAGATCCAACAGAACAAACACAGAGGACAGTTCCCAGGTTCTAGCTCTTCTTTGCCTAAAATACTCTATAAGTGCATGGATTCCATCTTCACCTCATGACCTTGAATAGCAAGATCATTTTTCAAATCCTTATCTGCCCAGTCCCTCCCTCTCCCAAAAAGCTTACCTAGAAGCCTATCTAGCCTTACTCAATCTAGCCTATTAGGACCATCAGGGGACTAGGTCAGTGCAACCTAGGGTGAGACAGAGATCTAATCTCTCTATACTGATTCAATCGCTGTTATCTGTTCCATGGACAGGTGCAGAAATTTTGGAAAAATCACTATTTTGGGGGGGAAATCACTATTAATAGAATTAAGTTCCTCGCGTCTGAAATTTACAGGTATACAGGCATACCTTGTTTACTGTGCTTCGTTTTATTGCGTTTCACAGCTGCTGGGGTTTTTTGTTTGTTTTTTTTTTACAAAGCAAAGGCAAGATCCTCCTCCTCCACCTTATTGTGATACTGGCTTTGGGATGGTCTGGGAAAGAAGTTGCAATACCTCCAACGTATGCCTGTAATTGCATTCCTCCATCTTTACTCCAGATCCTTACTATTCTTAGAGATAACATGAAACTTACTGGGTCCAAACGATCCCTCCCTCCCAAGGTACAGAAGTTGTACAACTACTACCGAAATCAATTTTTATTTAAAACTACTCTCACGGTTTCAAGTAAAACTCACCTGTGTTCCACTGGGAAAGAAGAGCATCAACCTAATCTATACCCATCTCAGCCCTTTGTTTCTGGCATCCCTACCATCTATTGCAACTTCATTCACCACCTTGGAGTATTTTCATAAGTAACAGTACAAATGCTATTATTCAGTGCACAATTCCACCAACTTAAGGCCTATACATTTCAGCTTTAAAGGACTTCTGTTGTTGTTGTTGTTTTTTTTTTTTTAAATTCCAGGATAGAAAACAAATACAACTGAATCACACATACAAAGTGATTTGGTGTGAAAAACCCGATGATCCAAACCCTGTCTAAGCCTAAGGTATCTTCTTGACCAATCGGTGAAATGGGTGAGGCCCTATTTCACACGGAGGCATACTGGAAAGCTGGATGGCAAACCCAGTGTCTGAGGTCAGCACCAGTCTGGTGTCTGCTGGCCGCCCAACCCTGGGCCCCTAGCCAGCCACCCACCTCCAGAGACAAGTGCCAGGGCATGCTATAGTGTTTCCATTTAAGGCCTGCCACTTGGATCGGCCCATCTCTGAAATTTCTTATCACCACCTTTCCAGGAAGAATTTTTTTTGGGGGGAAAGGGAGGTGGTGTCTATTTTTTGGGCTGTCTGCATCTCTCGAGCAGGGTTCTTTTAAAACCACTGGGTCATGGCTCAATTTGAAGCCTTTTTCAAAAAATATACAAAATATGTACCAGATCAGCCCTTTCTTCTCATGTTAACTCCCAATTAACACAACTCAAAAAAAGAAAGAAAGAAAGAAAGAAAGAAAGAAAGAAAGAAAGAAAGAAAGAAAGAAAGAAAGAAAGAAAGGAAGAAAGAAAGAAAGAAAGAAAGAAAAGGAAACCCAATAAAAGTAAAAACATTGTGTGACTTGTTGAAGGAGCCTAAGGTATCTTCCTGGCCAATCGGTGAAATGGATGAGCTAGCCAAATTAAGCACAACTTTTTAACCAAGGCTTTTTCTTCTTCTTCTACTAAGTGGAATGTCTTCTTCTTCCCTAAGTTGCTTCCTCTACAGCTTCTCTCCCATGCAAGGGGCGTCCAAAAGCTCCAGGGGAAAGAAAGGGGGTGAGAGACTCATCTGGCACAAACTGGCCAGGGCTGAGCCAGTCTAGGAGCAGACGGAAGTCAGTGAATCCGGCGGCCCCAGAGGCCCCGCCGCGCTCCCCAGCGCGCCCGGGGTTCTAGCCTCCCTGTTTTGGTTACAGTGTTGAAGGAAGGGTTTTCAACTTGGCAAAGTACCGTGCAACATCTGTAACCACATTTGCCTTCTGGGGATCGGAGGATGAATCCCACATTCCTGGCTTTGAAGCTTTTTGAAACTGCAGCTAAGGAAGCACGGAGAGAGGGAGGGAAGGAGGGAGTTGAGCTGAGTTTATTGGCTGTCTCTCCCACAGAAAATTCTTCTTGGAAGGAACGGATATTTTGAGGGTGAGGGTGTTGCGCCCATCCCTTGACTCCCTTACCAAGACCAGCCAGGAAGGTGAGCCCCGCGGCGCGGAGAGGCAGATCCACTTACAAGTCCCAGGCGCTCACCCTGCAGGAGGAGTTCACCCCATCCATACACACACACACACACACACACACACACACACACTGCACATCAGAGACACCCCCCCCCCACCCCCCAACTCCATGCCTCTGCCCTCTCCCACATCCCAACCGCAGTTCAGGCCCAGAGCGAGGCAGTTTTGCTCCGAGGCTGCTTCCCCCACCGAGAGAGAGGATCGAGCTTAAGGGGAGAAAAGAATGAAAGCGGGGGGGGGGGGGGGCGGAAAGGGGGGGCACCGCAGACGCCCACCCCCCCACCCCCAGCCCGTGCCCCTTCTCCCGCCAGGCTCCCTCCTCCCTCCCTCGATCCCCCCCGCTCCAGGCGCGGCCAGCGACCTGCCCTCACCTCTGGTCCCGCCGCGGCTCGGGCTGCGCCGGGGGAGGCGGGTGCGAGCCGGCGGGCGCTGCAGGTCGGCGGCGCGGGGCGGGGCGGTGCAGCCGGCGGGGAGCCCGGAACTCCGCGGGGCCGAGGGCCGGCGGCGCCCCGAGCGAGCGGCGTCTGCAGCGGCGCAGGGCGCGGGGCCAGCGGCTTCCCAGCCCGCGGACCGACCGGCGCGGCTCGGCCGAGGAGGAGCAGCCCGGCAGCGGCGGCAGCGGCGGCCACCGCGGGGAGAGAGCGGAGGGAGGGCGGGGAGGCGGGGTGAAGAGCAGGAGGAGGAGAAGGAGGAGGAGGAGGAAGGGGAGGGGGCGGGCGGAATAAACTTCCCGAGGCGCCGCGGCACGGGCTGGGAGGACGGCCGCGGGCGGGGCCGGCCGGCGGAGGGGGCTGGCCCGGGACTCGGTCGGGGAGGCGATCGCCGGGAAGCGGCCGAGTTCCCCGGTGCGGGGCGGGCGGCGGCGGCGGCGGCGGCGGCGGCGGCGGCTGCACGGAGCCGGAGCCGGAGCCGGAGCGGGAGGAGCGGGAGGAGGAGGAGAAGGAAGTGGCTGCGGAGCGCTCGGCCAATGGGTGTCTGGAGCTGTGATTAACCAGGCAGCAACACATCATTTCCTCCCGGCGCCGATCCAGGGAGCCGGGAGGGAGAGGGGAGGCGGCGGGGCGGGGCGGGCCCCGCGCCCCCTGCAGGCGCCCGGCCAGGGGCGGGCGGCCCGGCGAGCCCCGGCGAGCCTGACCCCGCCGCCCCCGGCGCGCCCCCGGCGCGCCCCGCGCCGTCTCGCCGGCCGGGAGGAGGCAGCGCGCGCGCCGCCCCCCGGGCTGCTCGGAGGCGGGGGAGCTGCGGGGCAGGCCGGGCCGGGCGCCCGCGGCCGGGGTGGGAGGCGCAGAGGCGCGCGGCGCGGGTGAGAGCCCAGGTAGGCGCGGGCGGGGCGTCTGGACAGCTCCCCGGGGCGGCGGGGGGCGGGCGGGCGGGCTGCCTCCCTCCCGGGCGCGGGGGACTGCGGGCGGCGCTCTGCGGACCTCGGCTGGAGTCCTGCCTGTCAGCCTTGGGCTGCATTCTCCGAGAGAAGCCTCGGCATTTTCATCCAGGCCCTTCTGATCTGCCTTCAGATGCCCTTCCACTTTGCTCATGTCCTCCTCGGAGCTTGCCATTTTCCCAGTCCACCTCATTAGTAATAAAAAATATGCGGAGTTGAGAGGAGGGGTTGTATGGGGGGCGGGGGGGAAAGAAGAAGGGTCTGCAGGCATCTAGCTCTGTCCTAGGCGCCAGGGGAGCTTACAGTGGAAGGGAAGGAACACACCCCGCCGAAGAGAGGCTGACAACCTCGGCCCTTGGTTACACAAAAACACTCCAGGGTGCTAATATTACCCACAGCATCAGAAAGGATCAAATGTTGCATGATGCCTGCGAGTGTTAAGGAAAGCACTCAAGCCATTTTCTCTACCCTTTAGAAGCTTACAATGTGCAGTCCTCTCACAAAGCAAAATAAGAGCATGAGAGCCATAAATGGGAATACCATAAAGAATTTTTATTTCTAGACTCACTTATGCAGCAGACATTTATTGGGTGACTGCAGTGCTGCAAAGGGCTGCAAAGGAAATGGAAGAGCTGGGCCCTGCAGGTCAAGAGTTTACAATCTAATGAGGAACACAAGACAGACATACATGGAACAGCTAGAAAGGGATCCCAGGTATTGCAGAAGCAAGAAGATGGAGAAGGCCAGGCACATTTTTTTATTTTATTTTTTTTCTCATAAGGGGAGGGCTTTGTTCCTATGTGATTGGTGGGGATCAGGAGAGGAAATTCCAGGTCAGGTCAAGCAAGAGTGCCTAGATGGATCCTTGCTCTTTAGAAGAATATCACAGGGACTGCAGTGTTACTTGGCCAGTTAGAAACTGAATGACCTTGGGCCCGTTTTACCTCTCTAAGAAGGGACGAGAGCCTGTCTCCTGAGGCTTGGTGTGTGGTTCCAATGAGATTACACATATGGGGAGGTTGTTCCAGCTGCTGTGTACATGGTCCTCAGTCCTGTGCATCGCAGCTTCATTTTACTGGCCGCTTGTTGGTGACCTTCTCTGTGGTCTCCCCTAGGCTGTAAGCCCCATGAGGGCAAGGACCAGGTTTGACTGTGTTCACCCACATATCACCTCGCCTGGCAGATGGCACCTGTGGGTGCTCAAATAAAGGTTTGCTGAATAAATGAACTAGTGAATTCTGCTTATACTTCCTTTTATCTGTTCCTTCAGCACTGATTCCTTCTTATTTGTGGCTGACTCAATGCAGAAAATCCTTTAACTCCCCCTTTTGTGACTAACTTGTATTCCAGGAATCTATCTTGGAGGATTCTGGGTCGTTCTTCTGGGCTTGTAACATAAATTGATTGATGGATGGATGGGGTGTGTGTGTGTGTGCGTGCGTGTGTGGTGTGTGTGTATGGTGTGTGCATGCGTGTGTGTGCGTGCGTGCGTGTGTGTGTGTGTGTGTGTGTGTGTGTGTAGCGCTGGAGGATACAGCTCTCCACACAAGCCTCATCCACACAAGGACACCGTCCTTTGGCTTTGGACACCTTAATCCGGAGTTTCTCAACCTTGTTACCAGTGACATCTTTGGCTGAATAATTGTTGGGGGGTGCTGCCTGGTGCATGGTAAGATATTTTGCAGCATCCTTGACCTCTGTTCATTAGATGCACGTGGGATGCCTTCTTTCCATAGTTTTGACAACCAAAAATGTCTCTAGACATTGCCAAATGCCTCCTGGGGGCAAAATAGTCCCCTACTGAGAACCACTGCCTTACCCTAACATATAATCCATTGATTTAACTCAGGTGGAAAACACACCAGTAAAGAAACTTGGAAGAAATGCATCTTCTGTTATTCTAAGATACTCAAATCTCCGTCATATGTTTCAAGGAGCAGGACTCTTGCTAATTAATTGCCTGCTGCATTGTGAGTTGGCATCGCTTCTGTTTTCTGCATATCCTCCTCCTTTACGCCCAGATCAACATGTTCATTTCTAAAAGTCAACAGCTTTCCAAAACTATTGGGAAATGGGGCCTTGAGCAACCTAAAAGTCCTGTACAGTATTTTTCTATAAAATTTAAGGCATTTCTAGAATTTTGCAGAGAGTTTTCTTGTCATGGCTAAGCTCTTAGACTTACAGACAATAACCATGGCTTCTCTGCACTCAGATGTGATACAGAATATAAACTGTAATTTTAAAAAATGATTTCATTTAAAGTATTAAGCATGCAACTACATTGAATGATTTTCTTTCATCCTGAAGCTATTTTAGTTTTGGTTCTAGATAGTGTTTCTTTTACAAGGATAGAAGAAAACATGGTTTATTAAAACCCATATAGCAACACTTAGCTTAGTTGTACATATCAACTTCCATCAGCAATTTGGTGGGGTGTTTGAGAGCTGTTGTTGTTGATGATGAGAATCCTGATTGATTAATGTACTGCTGTTCAATTTCTAAAGGATTCTTGAAGAAAAATAAAGATTAATGGTTGAAGAAGTGAACAAATTCTGATTAAATCTGTTCCTCAGTATGGGCACGGAGAACTAAAAAGGGCGCTCCTAGTACTGTGTTTATGATGTGAGCTGACACTTTTGTTCAGCAAAACAAAATCCTCTGTCTCACTAAATAAAATTATTTGAAGCACGGGTTTTATGGTTATTTGTTTATATTCAATTTTTGTATAGTGGTGTGATGGTCACAAGCATTTGGAGATTAGTTTACATCTAGTTTAGTGATTGTTCACTTTTAAGTTGAGCACTGAAGACTAGGTAGGCATTCAAACTACTTAGAAAATATGCAGAGTTTGAGGGTTGGATGTAGTTTGTGGTAAACTGATTCTACCAGTGGCCTGGTGCATGAATTTGTTTATATTAAAAGGAAATGAATTAGAGGAAGTATTTTAATATCACTGTTTGCCCTTTCTCTATAATAGAAGTGTCAGAGATGAAAGAAAATTAGTAAAAATGTACATGAAAATCTAAATATAGAAAAGCCTAAGTGACCAAATGACCGAACGACCAGTCGACTGGTTGCTATGATGTGCACTGATCACCAGGGGGCAGATGCTCAATCAGGAGCTGCCCCTTGGTGGTCAATGTGCCACTCAGCTGACTGACAGGCGCCAGATGCTGGACTCATGGCTGACAAGTGCGGCTACAGCTGCAGGCGCTTCTGCTGCCTCGCTCTACCGAGTGATGGCAGCAGGCACAGCGGGGCCAGAATGAGCAGGAGTGGCATGGTGCCTGGCTTGGGCTCGGGCTCCTCCTGGCCTCCTGCTGCTTCATGCACAATTACATCCCATGAGGGATTCCGGATTATGAAAAGCACAGACCAGGCTGAGGGACCCCACTGGTGCATGAATCTGGTGCACCTGGCCTCTAATAATATATAAATTGATTTATATATATATATATAAAGTAAACAATAGCAACATGATATAACAACAAATATTTTCCATGGAATTTTTACTGTCAGAATCTTCGTTTATCATTATTTTTTTTTAAATATACCTGGTATTCTGGAAATATATCATTTGGACAAACTTTGCCCTTGCTACAACATCAAGTGGTGAGTGCACATCATAGCAACTGGTTGGATGGTCAGACACTTAGCATATTAGCCTTTTATATAGAGGCATTTTGTTAGACTGAAACTAAGACCCAGACCCTTAGGAGATCTCCATGTTCTTTAAGAAATCCATGAAATTTGTGCTTTTGCTTCAGTTATAGTATTTTTCAAAGAAATTAATATCATATTTAGAGAAAGTAATGACATATTCTTTATCATATGACCATCATGCAACTATGATCCTAGTACTCGTTTTTGTTATGTACCTATAAGAAATGCAATTTATCCAAATGATCTATAATAATAAAAGGATAATATGCTAATTAGACCAGACGTCCTTCCAGACAAACCTGGGGCTGCAAGGGATGCCCGGAGTCCAGGTGCCAGAGGGAAGCAGGTGCCGGCAGCCAGGGGAAGGAAGGCCTACTCCTGCACAAATTTCATGCATTGGGCCTCTAGTATTCCTTTTTTTTTTTTTTTTTTTTAATATATTTTATTGATTTTTTTACAGAGAGGAAGAGAGAGGGATAGAGAGCTAGAAACGTCGATGAGAGAGAAACATCGACCAGCTGCCTCTTGCACACCCCCTACCGGGGATGTGCCCGCAACCAATGTACATGCCCTTGACCGGAATCGAACCTGGGACCTTTCAGTCCGCAGACCGACGCTCTACCACTGAGCCAAACCGGTTTCGGCGGCCTCTAGTATTCTCATAAAAATATGGAAGGCATTGCTGAGGGCCTGTGGGAATTTTTTTTTTTTTTTTTTTTTGCCTTTTAAAGATGTCTGTTTATTATTCAAGCATGAGAAATATTGACCCAGCTGCATCATAACTTTTCTTAGAAAAGATGAATTAAAAGGCCTTGACATTTGGAATTTGTCCTAATCCCAAGGCCCATTAAAAAAAACAAAAACAAAAACAAAAAAACTATGTTCCAAAGTTCAAAGTGACTGGATCAGAATAGTAGGGGGGTGGAAGAGAAAATCGTAACCAGAAAGGGTCACTGAAAATCCTATCAGACCTGGCACCCTTTTCCC